ATTTGAAAACACAACTTACAGTTGTTGAAACTTTAAGTTGGGAAAGTGCAGTTTCATCTTTTCCTTTCAGCCCAATTGACAGACGTCTCCCTGTAAAAATACAGAAGCATAGAGGAAATGCATGTAAAAAACTCAGTTTTGCACTAAGATGCAACAATTACTCTGATTTTTTTTCAATCAGTTCTTACTATGACCTTTATGTCAATATAATTGTATAATATATACCTTTTTGACATAAAATAACTCACCAATTCCAGGGAAGTTGTGATGGTAAAACTGGTAAATCTTCTTGTTCAGCTGGAGGATGTTTTGCAGATGGTGGTCACCTGCAGCCTGGCCCTCATGCAAAACCTCACTCAGGTCACTAAATGTCACCCATGACTGTGCCAGTGGCCCAAACTCCTTCAGAGCGAACTCGGCATACTGCTGAAACATCTCTAGCAGCCACTGACTTTCCCAGCCACCATACCTGGACCCGAAAGTCTCTGGAACATCTGACCCATGAAGGATGACGAGTGGCTGCAGCCCTTCCTCCAGCAGCTGCTTCAGGAGGGTCTGATAGCAGCTAACTACACCTGGTTGGGGTTCGCTTGCGAGGCCTGTTGGAAGGAGCTGGACCCAAGACAGCGGGACTTTGAAGTGTGTCACCCCTTTGCTCCAGAGGTACTCAAAATACAGTTTGGAGTTGGCTGGTATGGGATGACTGCAGTCAAAGGCAACTTGTTCCCCATTGCTGAAGGTTCTCAGCTCAGGTTGTGCCAGGGGGCCTGCAAGAAGCATAAAGTCATCCTGTCTTTTCACCCCCCTACCTTGACTTCCAAGGATGCACAGAAAGTGCAAACAGCCCAGCCACAATAGCTTCTCCATTGTGACCCAAAAAGGATGCAGTGAGGATTTTCTCTGATTGTACAGATTTATAAAGGAAAAATCTCCTCCTTTTTGGCATAATTATTTGTATGGCACCATCATAATTGTTATGCAATCCAAGATAATTTATTTAGTGTTTTATTGGACATGTGCTATCAGGAACACTAAACTCGTGTGATATAATCATGGTTGAAGGCCGTCTAAGGTGACCATAAGAAATTTTTAACATCAGCATTCAGAAGTGACTCAGGATATCCTTCAGGAAAAGGATTAGTATTAAATAGCCATTAGTGTGGAAGCAACAGTTCCACATAGATAATAAATGTTCACAATTACTAAATTTCATTTGTTTTGAATCAATTTTCAGATTTTTATAAATAAAAATAGAATTAAAATTTTATCTTCAATCCCAGCCCTTGAAAGTGACTAAACACAACCTTAGATGAGGAGCTATTCATATGTATTTATCTATTTGCTTTTTTCTAAAACTAGCCAAAGATAAAACATATATATATAGATATATATATCTATATATATATATATATATAGATATATATATCTATATATATATATATATATATATATGTGTGTGTATATGTGTGTGTCTGCTCTGTCTTGCGAAGACAGAGCAGACACACAGAAAGATGAACAGATGTTGGATTATTTTCTTTGGTCATGAAAAACAGTGGTTCATACAGATAACTGCACCAACTGTGGCTCCTTATAGCATCATTGTTAGTGTTTTCAGGAGGTTTTCCTTTTCCAATAATTTTTTGTTTCTCTAAAAAATTTAATTTCTGAATGTTTTTTCCTCTACATATCTGCAATTAGTACTGCAAGGTCACACGTAGGTCATACTGTTTTGTAACCATAACTGGGTGAAGACTTTGTTTTTTATGCTGGCTGTGTTCTAACTCTGTTGTAATAAAGACAGTTTTTTGAAAAGTTATATAATAGTTTTCATAACCATTTATTACAAACCCAAAGTTCATGGTAACAGAGATAACTTTGATGAAGCCCTTTGATTTATTTTCTCAGATTATAAAAGTCGGTGCCATTAATAATAACTTTAGTTAAATGTATTTAACATGTGTTTTGAAGTTTAACGCAGGATGGTATATTTTTGTTGCTAAAATTAAAGCCTTTTTTAAGTAATCATATATTTTCTTCAACCTTTCTACATTTTAAGATTTTCTGGAATTAGGCAAAATCTTTATTGCAAAAAATCTTGAACGTTTCATTCCCTGTTAATACCTCGTTAAAAATAATTTTAGTGAGTAAAACTCAGAAAATGCAACATCAAACCTGTTCAGAAAAAATAGTTTGTCTTACCTTTTGCTCCCTTTAATTCCCAATATTTGATTTATGATGTTGCATCTCTTGCATAGTAAATATAAGATGGTATGCTAAATACTATTTACTTTTTCTTAATACTTTTAATTCCATAAAACCAATCTGCAAACAATGCAAGATGCAGAGTTGCAGAGGGTTGATGTCTATCTCCAGTGGTCATTGGGTGAACAACCATGCATGCACACACACATTCTCATCTAAGAGCATATTAGAGAGATCAATTCACTTAGCAGAACTGTGGGTTCCCAGAAAGAACCCACAGATGCACAGGAAGAACCTGTGAACACAAAACAAGAAAGACCCCAGGATCTTTGAGCTGCAAGGCATAATAATAACAAAAAATGCACTACAATGCATTAGGTGGGTGCTATGTTGTAATATTGTATTGGTGTCAGATTTTATTATAAATTTTATTAGCTGTGTAGTGAAAGAATGTGGAAGGTAAAAGATAAAGGTTTTGATGACTTTATGTTAAGATGTAAACGTCATAAGGGAGATAATATAATATAGATAAATAATATATACTTTCTTTATCAAAAGGAAGGTCATAAATTACTAGATGAATTAAATTTGTGGGCAGAGAATAGCAATATTCATAATATCTGTGGCATCCACTTACTGATTGGAAGTCATGAAAGTGAAAACAAAACTTGAAAAAATAAAAATTAAAGTATTTTTTTATGCTGCAGGATGTATGTTTTAAACCAACATCTCATTATTTCAAATAAATCTCAACACCACTGCTGATCAGGACTATTTTGTCTGTTATTTATCATTGCATGACGTAAACATAGGTCCTGGAATTGGGGTCAATAAAAAGTAATCTAAGAATCTTTATTATAAATCCAACAACAGATACTATTACACTCCCCAGATCAAAGAGACCGCTTTCTTCCTGCAGATGCACCATATTGTAGATTTAATATTTCAGATGGAAGCACTTGGTGTTCAATTCCGTAACCACTGTGGCTCATGAACAGTATCCCTCCTGCCCCCCCAAAAAAGCTGCAGGGGAAGCCTGGTGGGTTGATCTGGAGCTCTTAACTCAGATTGTTGCCCCAGTGTGTTAATTTTTACTGTGAGATAAATAGACACATTGTGGAGAATTACGTGATGTTGTTTTAAGTGTACAGAAGAAATCTCCCCTACAAAAATGTGTTTTTAAAAAAAATTCCAGTTGTTGTTACAAAAAGAAAACCATTTCTAGCAGAGATGTTTTTATTATTTCTTCTCCTTTGGAGGTACATATTGTGTATTTAAAATTTCCTCACATATCGCAAACACCTTTTAGGCCAACATTTTCTTCTAGTTGCAGATCCCTCTGGATGCCTGTTTGTGATTCAATGTTAGTGGATTTTTGGCGAAACTTAACTCCAAATGATTCACCTTTTGACAGAATTATTTTGTTGGAAATATCTAAAAAAAAAAGTAAGAAAATACCTGACACACTATCGGCTGGTGTTCACAAGACACTCCAGGAGGTCATTCATTTGTTAACTCTTCCTTTGGTTCTTGAAGAGGGAGCCTGGACGTCTTTAGAGAAATATAAATACTTTTCAAAGTGCCAGGTTAAGAAAACTGGAATATGTGGTAAGTCAGCTGTTATTCAGTGGTTAAGATAAGTGATACCAGCGGGGTTAGGCTGGATAAGACTCCAGCCAATAACTGGCCAGCTTATCTCCTTGTGTTTTGCTCTGAGCAGTGCAGAGACAAAGTATAGACAAAGTGCATCAATGGTGAATACACCAACCATGTATGCTACAACATGCTATGCATCTGATTAGGGAAGAAATTAACCATGGACCAAACCTACTGTTTAATTTTGCTTTAAGATATATATGCCTTTACAACATGGGACTGACCCTTGACCCTTACCACCTGCACAGAAATGTCCGGAGAGGAATCAGCAAACTCATGTCTCCTGAATCAGGAATATATATATATATATATATATATATATATATATATATATATAATATATATATATATATATATATATATATATATATTTAACAACATTTCTGTCATGTTTTAAAAGTGTAATTAGAAAAGCAAGATGTTATTACTAGTTAGCTCTTATATGTTCTTCACAAAGAAATCGCCTCAGTGTGATGAGCAGGAGGAGATGAGCTGATATGGCGCAGTTAAGGAAACAAAACTGCACCAAGTCAGAAATTCTCTCCAATTAGATGATGGCGCTCAGGGGCGAGTCTAGGATTTGACCTTTAGGGGTGCTCGGCCCCCAGCAGGGCTAAGACCCATGAGAAGATATTTGTTTGTACGTTTTCTAAATCTAACTGCTTATTTACATACATTCACAAACAAAATTCAGAGACATTTAACAGCCAAATATGTAACGACTCCGTATTTTACAGGATGGGTGGCAATCCTATTCAGGGGTGCTGAGATTCACTTTTAGCTGCCAGGTGGTTTACAAATCACAATTTTCTTAAATGAGACGATACAAATATTACCACAGGAAAATTAATAACTTCAAGAAATTTACCACCGTATTTAAATTTTTTAGGAATATGTTCAAAAATATGGATTAATACAAAAATACTCCATCCAATTTTAAGAAATATTTGAAGATGGTTGACATTTTTATGTTGTGGAAATGGAGACTGTTGTCTTCAACTTCTGAAAGTGGCAAAGTAACTTGTAATCTAACTACGTTACTTTTTCAAAGAATAATCAGTCATCAGAAGTCCAATTACTTTCTCAAGATAACTATGCCAATACTGTTGGAGGGGAACCAAAAGGCACAAAATCAAAATATGTACAGTTTGATGAATCATAATATGTTTATTGAACAGAAGTTTCACAGGACAAGCAAGAGAAAGTAGACAATAATAGGTTTTCAAGGAAACTATAAGTTACTGGCAGACACAAGAAACATTTTACAATAGGTTGAACAAATCTAAAGTTTTACAAAATGGGTTTTCCCACTGGTGGACTTCAGTAAGCTTAATATGGAACAGAAATGTTTTAAAAGCATAAACAGCAGTGCAAATCAAAAATTACATCCATTCATCTCAGACATTGAATGACATATCCAAAAAACTCCCATCAAGCAATAATCTCCTCTCCACATCACTGATTATATGAATTAATTACATCTATTTTTCTTTTTTAAATACAGTACAATTACAACATACAGTGTTGGTGAACTCTGACTTCTTTGCTGAAGATTATTTATTGCAGAATGTTTTCCATCTTCAAATTTAAACCTGGACTTCACATGTTTATGTCTTCATTAAAGAAGTAAGTCAAACTGAAATCAGGATCTCTTGTGCATTTCTACATGCTCATTTTTTTTGCTTTTCTTGGAACGCTTCTTGAATAAAAAGAAGCCAATGATTAGACAAATTGCTGCAGTGAGTGCTATAATTAGAAGAGCAAATGTTGCATTAAGTCCGGTCTCGGCTTCTTCGGCAGAGATCCTCATACCCAAGAAGTTCAATTTGATTGGCTCTTTTGTTGCTGTGGAAAAAAATAAACACATATATTAGTAATCAATAACAGGCTGTTAACTGTAAAATTAACTTTATACTTTTAACAATTCATTCTGAAACGCTTAACATAGATTTTTGCATAAGCTAGCTTTCTAACTAAACCAGCTTATATTAGATCAGTTTCTCACTTGTGTTGTTGGGTTTATTTTGATCAATTATGTCAAATGTATCAAGGTCGGATATGTTTCAATTTGTAGTTTTATTTTTGGGAATCTTTGATCTGATCTGAAATCAGAGAAACTAAGTTTACTTTTAAAGAGGTGAATCTTTTTACCTTCAGGCTTAGGAGTGGAAGTTGGGATGGAGGTAGAGTTCCAACACTCGTGAGGTCCAGTTGTTGGGTCAGGAAACCCATTACAGCTGATAATGGAGGAGTAAAAGGACACAGAGGCTTTGGGGGTTCGAGGCAGATCAGGGTCTGAGCGATTGACATAGAAAAGTCCAAATCTCTCTGTATATCCAACAGCCCATTCCAGGTTGTCCAGCAGAGACCAAGCAGTGTAGCCAACAATATTGACGTTGTCAAGCAAATAAGCTGCAGAAAAAAGAAAATATAATTAAGCACACAAGCTGGTAAAAGGAATTAATTGAATTGAAGACAGCTATAACAGATTTTAATGTAAACAGGATTTGTTCTCATTTTAGATACTCTATATCCAATGAAGTTGTTTAAATACCTTTCAGCACTTGGTTGATGTACTGTTCATAATAGTATTTCCTGTGAACGTCATTCAGATCAACTGGCCCATTTTCAGAGACACCGTTCTCAGTGATGACAATCGGAGGATTTCTGTAATTGTCCTTGATGAATTTCAACAATCTTCTGAGACCAAATGGTGTCATCCTCAGCCAGACAGAACCTGTTTCCAACCAGGTCCGATCACTAATAACCACCACACCCCTGTGACAAGTGAATAATTACATAATTAGGAGTTCAGGTTAAAAACATGGGCACTTTCCACAAGAATATTGAGGAAAAATGTGATAAGAATATATAAATTAATGATTTCCAAATTAAGTGTATTTTAAATTGCTTTGTGACAACATTAACCACCTTACCTGTCTGCCTCAAAGTGTTGAGTAGTTCCAAAGTCTACAGGGAATGCCAAGACACTGCAGTAATGGTTTAATCCAAAATAATCATATGTGCCATTAATTCGCTTAATTTCTTCAGGAGTAAACTCGGGCAGCCTAGAGAATAAAAATTCAAGAAGAAATTGTAGTACATGAAATGTCAGTGGAGGTAATAAGTTGCAAATAAAATTAAGAAGAACCTGCACAGACTGCAAAGAATTTTTAAGTAGAATAAAGGATCTTACCTGGATTTTGTCAAACCACCTGCAAGACTTTGTTCTAGAACAGATTTCTTCACCAGTGGGCTGTAGTCACCATTAAAAATGGGATGGACCCACCAGCCAAGATAAAACTGTGGACAGAGTTTGACACACAACAATCAGCAACTACAACACCACACAAGGTTTGGTGTTTTACAATCACAGGACAATATATACCTCAACCACATTTCGTGCAGCTTCATAGTCCTCTTGCTTGTAGGGGTTTCTAGGTTCTGCCCAGTCTGAGTTTACAGTGATGGAGACCTGTCCTCCCTGTGAGGCTCTGTATTTGTCATTGTAGACATGCCAGGCCTCTGCATGGGCTCTGATTATGTTGTGGCCCACAATGTATGGAAGAGTGTCTGGTCTGTCATTGAAACCTGGAAAATATAACATAAAATATGGTGATGCAGAGTTTCTCATGTAGGTATACCATAATTAAATGTACGTTTGTAAATGCAGCCTATTTTCTTCCTTGGGAGTTCTGCATTGATTATAGTCCATAATTCTGACTTCTAACTTTCTGAAAATGAAGTGTAATTCCAGTTAAGAATACCATACATACCTGGGGCATGTGCACCTTGGACATGGCCTAATACAGTTATAATGAAAGGCTCGTTGAAAGTGATCCAAAGTTTCACTTTGGGACCAAGATGCTGAAACATAACATCCGCATATTCCTTGAATCTTTGAATGATGGTCTCATTTTCCCAACCTCCAACGTCCTGTAGAGCTTGTGGGAGATCCCAGTGGTACAAAGTGACCTGGTCCAAAAGAAAAACTGTTGGTAAAAGAAGTAAAACATTTTTCTGAATGATTATTTTTGAGAAGTACTTACTTGAGGCTGAATGTTTGCGGCAAGAAGGGAATCCAGAAGTTTCTTGTAGTAATCTAGACCAGCCTGATTGATGTGCTTGGTAGTTCCGTCTGGTAGGATTCGTGGCCAGGATATGGAGAAGCGATAGTGAGACACCTTCACTGTCTTCAGTGCAGCAATGTCGTCTTCCATCTTATTGTAACTGTTACAAGCAATGTCCCCTGTATCGTGCTCAGATATTTTTCCAGGAGTGTGTGTAAACTTGTCCCAGATGCTGAGACCTTTTCCGCCTTGTCTCCAGGCCCCTTCAATCTGGAAAGAGGAAAATCAGGTAAGAGGGTTTGTGTAATTTCTTGTTGTTGGACTTTTGGAGGAACTTTTTTTTTCCATAGAAGGAGTTAAAAAACAAGGACTTACACTGAAAAACATAAGTCAATCTATTTTATTTAAAGTTTTTTTTCAAAGTATCAACCATTATTTTAGTTATTTTTGTCAACAAAAATCAACAGAAATGAAAAAAAAGAAAACTATTGTTGATTATAGCTGTTTAAATCTGACATTTTTTCAGTTGAAGTAACAACTGAAAAAATTGTTAGTTAAACTAATAATTTAACTAAGAATTCAGTTGTTAGTTGAATAGGAAAGAAAGTATTTTGAGAATTGTTAATGTTGCTAATTGAAACTAGAGATTTAGACATCAGCACGTACCAGGACACCTGAATGATTTAAAAGGAATTTGCTCTATTTTGTAAGTTTGAGATTTGACTGCATTGTCCAGCATTTAGGAAGATAAACTGTTTTAAGTCTGATCTCATGTTGAGCTCATAAATGATGCTCTTAATCACTTTAAAACTCTAAAGACCAGCATTTTTGCATTTGGTTTGGAAAAGTAGTACAGCCTTTAGAACAAAAGGATGTTCTCACCATCATATTACATAATAGCTCAAAATTAAAAACGTAGAATTAAATGTCATCAATTCTATATATATATATATTTTTTTATTTTTCATTTCACAATAAACTAACTATTCTGTAACAAATTTCATTAAAAAAGACTAAAATGTTAGCCATGACCAAACATAGTGCTGGAACCGGCTGAGTCAAAGTTGGTTTGTGGATTTAACTTGACATTAACTTAGATTGATCTGAAAAGAAATTATCAAACGATTTGGATTTTATCTCTCATGAAATCTTTTTTTACCTGGTATGATGCAGTTGCACTACTCCAAATAAAACCCTCTTTGAATTTTCCATATATCATCTTTTCATCTTCTGTCAATGGGAAACCATTGTTCTTGATGATATTGGAATAGAAATGAGCTGAAAATTTAGGTGTTCTGGGTCGATGCATATTACTGAAGTCTACATGGTGCAGACCAAAGCCAAAGAGGTAGCCATAAAGGAACTGGAAGGAATCCATGAGATATGTTGCATAGCCTTTCACCTTGACTCCATCTAGCTCATAGGCTGTTAAGATAGACATGAGAAAATAAACAGAAATTAGTTGCGAATGATATTGAAATGTACAACATATGTTTGTTAATGTTTGCCTATACTACTGTACCTTTAAGAGCCTCATCAATATAGGTTTTGTGAAGGAAGACTCTGTCGATTTCATCAAACGCCCATTCCCTGGGAGTGGCAACTGAATTTTCAGTAATGTAAATATCTGGATCTCCATATTCTTCCTTGATCCAGTTGAGAATCCTTCTCATGCCAAATGATACAGCTCTTGTGAATCCAATTGGTGTCGTGGGTTGATCAAGTACCTCTTCTTCTTCATAGTCCCAGTCATTTCGATAGGAATGTGGAGACAGCAGACCTGTGATATGGGTTACTAGCCTGGTGGTGTAGTGATTCACACAGAACATGTCAGCAGTTCCTTTAATCAAGTTCTTTTCCTCCTCTGTGAAAGAAGGGAGTCTTGACTGTTCAAGACCTTGGAGTTCACTTTTAACTAAAACTTGGGCTTTCATGGCCTCTGGATAGTCTCCATTCTTGAAGATTGGATGGGCAAACCAACCCACGTTGAACTGCATTGCACGGTCAGCAGCAACAAGATCACGAGGGACATTGATGTCTTTAGGTTCAACCCATTCAGCATTAAGGGCAATGGAAACCATACCTCCCTGAGAAGCACGATATTTATCATTATATGTATGGTAGGCTGTAGCGTGAGCTTTAATCAAGTTATGTGCAACTTGGTATGGTGCTGTTCCTGGCTCCTTAATTTTTGGAGGGATTTGTCCGGTTCCATATCCTAACCATGCAAGTCCTTGAGGGTCATTCATGGTCATCCAGAATTTTACTCTGTCGCCAAAAGTGGCAAAGCAGAAGTCAGAATAATCATTAAAAATGTTAATCATCTCCACGTTTTGCCAGCCACCAATGTCTTGTAGAGCTTGTGGGAGGTCCCAGTGATAAATTGTGACCAGTGGGGTGATTTTTCTGGCCAAGAGGCCGTTAATAAGACTGTTGTAATAATCAACACCCTTTTGGTTCAGGGATGCACGTCTACCATCGGGGAAGATTCTGGACCATGACAGTGAAAATCTGTATGATTTCACTTTCATAGCTTGCAGCATGTAAAGGTCTTCTTCAAGTTTATTGTAACTGTCGCAGGCAACATTTCCATTCACATCTTCAGGAATACCACTACCTGGGTTATTACTGACTACATCCCATACACTGGGTCCTTTCCCATCCTGGTTATATCCTCCCTCAATCTGGTAAGCTGATGATGAGACGCCCCATAAGAAGTCTTGTGAGAATTTGCCATAGTGATACATTTGCCTGTCAAACTTTTTCTGTGGCGTAAATTTTTCCCAGACAGCCTTTGATGCTGATGGGACCTCTGAGGGTGGCAGTGGGGTGGAACGGCGAGATGGTGATATTTTCACACCTTCAAAATGATCTTGTTTACGTGAAACAAAACCATTTTGCTCGATGATCTGAGCAAAGAAATATGCTGATTGTCGTGGTGTTCTTGGTCTGTAGCCATCTACAAAATTAACCTGGTGAAGTCCAAATCTTTCACTGTACCCTTTATTTCCCTCAAATCCATCCATAAGTGATTGCACCGTGAATCGCTGCACGTCCACTTTATCGACTTCAATAGCTGCAAAAGAAGACAACATAAAAAAGTTATGATTTGTCTCTTTCTAGTAAAAATGTGCCAGATAAAACAGAAATTACAAGCACTAACCATTTAGGGCTGCACTGATGTAACCCCTCATGTACTCTATTCTGCTAACATCATTCAGGGTGTCTCCACTGTCATCTGTTGGCATGCCATTCCCAGTTATGTAAATGGGCACATTGTTAACAGCTAGATATGTTGTTTTAATGTGGGTCAGAAGTGACCGTAGCCCTGTGGGCATGGAGTAGATCCAGTCTGATGCTGTAGCAGGCCATGAAGGATCCACTTTTGCCTGGAAGTCTCCAACTCCTGCAGGGCCAGGGATGCACCCACCTGCACTGCTGCTAACTAAACGGGAGGTATAATGATTTAAACCAAAAAAGTCAGACGTTCCCTTGATCCTTGCCTTCTCTTCATCAGTGAAAGTTGGAAGCACTGCTGGCACAGATGAGGGACACTCTTTTGCTTTGTTTGCAATCTGAGCTTTGAGAACTGCAGAATAATCCCCATCTATGAAGATTGGATGGGCAAACCAGCCTAGCATAAACTCCAGGTAGCGTGTTGCAGCTTCCTTATCTTCAGGGTTGTTAGCATCAGCAGGTTCTGCCCAGTCAGAGTTTAATGCAATGCCCACTTTCCCTCCCTGTGTCTTTCTGTAATTGTCATTGTAGACATGCCAGGCTTCAGCATGGGATTTCAGTATATTATGAGTAACCTGTAGAAATAAGAATTAACAAGTGAAGGGTTATAGCCTAAACAAAATTTAGACAAGTTTAAAAGGTTTTGATGTGGGGATACCGCTATGTTTACCTGATAAGAAGCAGTCACATAGTCTTTTATTCCTGGAGCATGCACACCTGTGCCATATCCAGCATGGCTCACCACCCACGGACTACTGAATGTGTTCCAGCTCTTGACCCTGTTTCCATATCTATTGAAGCAGAAGGTTGCATAGTCCTTGTAAGCTGCAATAATGGAAGGGTTGGTCCATCCACCATTGTCTTGGAGAGCCTGAGGCAGATCCCAATGGTAGAGAGTGGCAACAGGCTGTATGCCAGATTCAATAAGAGCATTGATCAGATTGTCATAGTAGAGAGCTCCTTCTTCATTCAGGCTGTCTTTGAGACCTGAGGGGAATATACGGGCCCAGGAAATGGAGAACTGGTAGGTGTTGACTCCAAGACCTCGCAGCAGGTAGACATCTATATCGACCTTTCTGTAGCTGTCAGCAGCTGTGTCAGCAGTATGATTATTAAAGGCTTGGTTTTCATGACCAAAACGATCCCAGATGGTCTCGCCTTTCCCCTCTGCTGCCCATGCACCTTCAACCTTGAAAGACTCTGAGGATGTTGCCCATTGGAAGCCGGCAGGGAATGCTTTAGTGGTGACATCTCCGTCTTCGGTGCTTTTGGCTGCAGACTCATGCACAATCTTCTGATCACTGCTACCCAGCCCTTGCTTTCTGCTTAGATGTGCTCCACCACTTAAAAAAAGACATCAAATATAAATTAGAATGAAAAACGCTCGATGTATGTGTTACTTCTTAACGCAATCTTACCTGTCTACAGTGTCCTGCATCTCCAACAGGATCAAAACATTCTTCATGTCACATCCAATGATATTTAGATCATCACTGCGCAAGACTGTTTGAGAATGACCATTTGTACAGTTTTAGATTCATATAAAATAAAATCCAGAAAAATATGTCCTTAGTTTTTATGTTTGTGTATGTTTTTCTTCTAAACATGCACTTTTCACTTTATTGAAGAAATATATTTTATTTACAGCTTGCGAACCTTTACAATACATACAAGACCTCAAGACTTAGTAACTTGAAGCTCCGTGCCATTGTGCAGTAATATAAATTAGTTTAATGTGCAAAATTATCAAAAAGCCAACAGTGAGTAATATCGAAAACAAGAATGAGTCTTTCGCTTCTCTTTAACATTTGATGGTTGTAGAAAGATCCATAAATTATCTTGGAGGCAATGATGGATTGATGTATGGATGGTAATGATTTACAAGCTATTGACAATATTTACGCTATATCGGCTGAACTTTGGTCAAGTTTTGGCATTCATACTGCCCACTCTCTTTGACGAGGTTGAGGGCTGGAATCAAACCCACAACTTTGCGTGTTTCACAAAATCAGCTGTTCCCTGTAAGCCGCATCCACCCATATGCCATAGTACTGTTTTTTTACGAACAAAATTTATGAAGAAAAAAGTATTGTTTTTTTAACTACAATAATCTAAGTGTAATGAAGCCATAATTTCTTAGTGTCAGAGAATCAACTAGCAGATATGTCTGACTTATATGTGAAAATAACTTAATATTTACTGCTGTATGTGTACATCTAGTATATAGATTGAAAAATATTACTTGGTAGCTGTAACAACACTTACCATTCAACACGTCTCGAAGAAGCTCTTCATTGTGTGAACAATCATGAACTGTCAGTCTGTGTATCAGGACAGGCAGATTTCCAGTGGAAATCTACAGCATAACACAATATGTATGAGGATTTAGTTCATTTTCTTCATGTGAAACATTAGAAAAAAAACTATATGAAATGGCTTACCTGTAGGTTCTTCAGCTCCTGTGCAAAGTTTGTCGATGAAGCGCAACTGTAATCCATGTCAACTGACAAGAAGTCAACCTGTAAGGAAAAGGAGATGAATACAGTGATAATAATTAGCCAACTCAGTAGATGCCCAGTGGTACAGTAGTTTAACTCAACAGAAATATCCAAAATAAAGGTGCTGCAAAGCTAAATATGTTTAATTTTTTTAGCGTTTTTATTGTGATATAGTTGGCTGGTATTTAAATTGGAATAGAAGAAATTTTAAAGTGAAAAAATTATATATAATTTTCATTTGATTTTTCTTTGCAGTGTTTGTAACTTTTGAAATGTTATGCTGAGCATTTTGCTTTAATATTGACAAATACTGACAAGCTTGTAAATAGATTAACCAGAGGAAAAGTGAAAGATTTTATTTGTATGTTGTATTTTAATTTATTTCAAGAGGATCTGAACATATGCATCTGAATACATACAATAAACTTGAAACTTACAGATGTTGAACCTTTAAGTTGGGAAAGTGCAGTTTCATCTTTTCCTTTCAGCCCAATTGACAGACGTCTCCCTGTAAAAATGTAGAAGCAAAAATACATTTAAAAAACTTTGACTTCAGTCAGTTTTGCACTAAGATGCTTGGATAACAATTTTTTCCATCATTCCTTGCTACGAACCAGTGCGTCAATTTTATTGACATTTAGTCAATAACATTTACGCTAGACAGTTGTGTTGTGTATTCCTTTTTCACATAAAATAACTCACCAATTCCAGGGAAGTTGTGATGGTAAAACTGGTAAATCTTCTTGTTCAGCTGGAGGATGTTTTGCAGATGGTGGTCACCTGCAGCCTGGCCCTCATGCAAAACCTCATCCAGGTCACTAAATGTCACCCATGACTGTGCCAGTGGCCCAAACTCCTTCAGAGTGAACTCGGCATACTGTTGAAACATCTCTAGTAGCCACTGACTTTCCCAGCCACCATACCTGGACCTGAAAGACTCTGGAACATCTGACCCATGAAGGATGACGAGTGGCTGCAGCCCTTCCTCCAGCAGCTGCTTCAGGAGGGTCTGATAGCAGCTAACTACACCTGGTTGGGGTTCGCTTGCGAGGCCTGTTGGAAGGAGCTGGACCCAAGACAGAGGGACTTTGAAGTGTGTCACCCCTTTGCTCCGGAGGTACTCAAAATACAGTTTGGAGTTGGCTGGTATGGGATGACTGCAGTCAAAAGCAACTTGTTCCCCATTGCTGAAGGTTCTCAGTTCAGGTTGTGCCAGGGGGCCTGCAAGAAGCATAAAGTCATCCTGTCTTTTCACCCCCCTACCTTGACTTCCAAGGATGCACAGAAAGTGCAAACAACCCAGCCACAATAGCTTCTCCATTGTAGCCCGACAAAGATGCACTGAGGATTTCCTCTGATTGGAAAGCTATTTAAAGGATAAAACTCCTCCTATTTGGCATTTTCTCTACGGCTCTTATGATGGTTATGAAACCGAGTTTATCTAATTTTACCGTTTTATTGCACATGTCTGATATCCTCAGGAACACTTTGAACTCACACGTGTAAAAAAAAGCATTCTTATCAGATAACCATGGTTACAGGCCTTTTATGGTGAGCAGTACTTGTCAATATGAATGTCCGGGAAGTACTGTTGTACACTTCACTAAAAGATTAGTGATATAGAACCATCAGTGTGGAGGTGAAACTTCCACATGGATTATGCATGTTCACAATTACTGGATTTAGTTTTAGAATCAGGTTTAAGTAAATTTTCTTTCTGTTTGAAAATATTACAAATACACATTTAAATATATTGTGTCACTTCCTGCTCTTTACAGTATGTAAACACAACGTTAGATAAGAAGTTGTATATAGCATGTTTGTTTTTGACAAAACTAGACAATAAATAAATAAATAAATAAAACGTGTTATGCATTGTAACTTAAAGCAATAATTTCCCAGATGACCTTATTTGGTTTTCATGTCACCCTGTTTCTTTCACTCATTTTTTCCCCCTTTTCAACAATTTACCTTTTTTTACAGCAATGTTATATGATCTAGCTCTGCTATTCTTCTGGACTGTTATTATTGCCTTGTTTTTTCATCTTCCTCACCCCTTTGATTTTATTTTTATTTTTATTCTTTTTTCATGATTGAGCCAAGTTACTTTGAAAGACATCAGCCCCTTCAGCCATGTGCTACAGTTCATAATTTATAGTTCATGTACGCTATGAACTATACATTAACACTTGGTCAATGATAAGCGGATGTAGGCAATGAAAATGTGTTTTGAAAATAGACTAGAGGTTTAGTCTTTTCAGCTTTGCAAATATACCTTAAGAAAGATATACAGTTTCTGCATTTATCATTATTCATTTACTTTTGTTATAATTTCGAATATTTCCGATGATTGCAGTGTCTTGTGATGTAGCTCACATGTTTTAGGCTGTTTTTTTTAAAGCAGCTCGTGGTTGGATTTCATGTTGGATCACCCTCTAGAGAAAAGGTTTTGAATATACTACTATTTTTACTTGTTGTATACAAATGGTAATAGTTTCATTAACGTTTCCACATGAGTCCATCCAATATTTGCTAAAGCTGAATAAATCATTGATTTCATTTGCAACCTCTGGCAGCTTTTTAACATTTTCTTTATCAACTCCTGTTTCTGCATTTTTTAAAGGCAATGCAATTGATTTGTCATTTAATATTTTGCTTTATTTACTTGGTTTGTAAGACAAGTGTGCTGTGCATAAGGCATTTAAAAATAAAAAAAAATATTCAAATATCTTATTGGTATATGAGGGACTGAATGCACTATGGACATTTCAGGCATCATCCACACAGACCTGCTTACCTGATGCTCCCAGGAACTAAACTTGAAACCAACTGAATGAAAACCTAAGAATTATGTTCTGAAATTATTGGTCATTTTAAATCAAGTATACAAACCTCTGCATTTACAGCCCATTTCTTATAGAGGACAGTTTTATCTGCTGATCTATGTTCTACTAGATATATATATTAAAAAAAAATCGCAATTGTCAATATTTCTCCTATAGAAAAAAGATATAAGAATGCATAATGTAGGCACACTCTACTACAGGAGTTGAGTAGAGTGGACAGCAAGCACTGATGAGGTTATGTTCAGTTTCCTTGATAATGATTGGCTTTGTCCCCAGGAGTGGAAATAAGGAAGACTATGGATTTTTTTTCCCTCTACAGTGTTGCAAGATAGTTTTCACTGTTCATATTAGTTCAATTTAAAAAATGTTTTGCATCTTAACTATTAAAATAGGCAAGTGTTTTTCAAAGTGGTCTAAAGTACTGGTGAATTATAATGTTCACTTTAGTATGAATATGGAGGACAGAAACAACACATAAGACATCAAATTCCCACTTATTCTTACTTTTTATGAATAGTAAGCATACTAGAGTTAGCACTGGAGCACAGCTAGGCATGAAAGGATGTTAGAAAAATAGTCAATTTCAAACTATTTAAAAGTAAGGTTGTGAAGATTACTTGAAATTAATTTGTGGAAAACACAAGCTGGCACCAGTTGTGAAATATGGAGATTTTGTATGTCTGGAGACATTAGTTTTATTGTTTTAGTCTTGCCAACAATATGATGGGGAGAGTAACTGTGTCCAAAGCTAATTTGATGAATGTAAAGGGTGTTTCAATGTGAGAACAAGCCAACACATTACCCTGTTCTATTCACTAAGTTATCTCTTCAAGAGCAAAATGTGAACACATTTCACATGTTCTAATAACACTGGGTAATGAGAGCGGGAAAATAACTTCCCATTTATTACCGTCAGGCTGTGATGAGTGATAAAGCCTCACATGCCTTTATGGAAAACATTTCAAAAACTGTTTAGTTATAAGCTGTATGTTTATGCTCAAACAGGGACTCAATGGAAATGGACCTGCGAGACTTCACACTTCACTCCTATGAGAAATTTTCCTACATATAGATATCTTCACTAACAGTGTTTTTTGTTTACTTTGTTTGGTTTATTATGCCTTTTGTGATTAACCAAACACTTGACGCCTATTCTAGAAAATAATTTTGGGATACATTTTTGTGTTTTTGCATAAGTTTACTGGATTACTTGGCTGCAATCAGTATGTTGAGGTCAAACTTTAAAGGATTTTGTTATCATGTTTGTGTCAAGATTGTTTTCCTTTTGCCGGTGTTCATTAGCAAGAGTAATAAAGGCAGTATTTTATAAGTACAATAATATTTTTCATAAGCTTTTACTACAGACCCAAAGTTCACAGTAAATGAGATAAAGGCGACACAGCCCAAGAGACTTTTGAAAAATAAATGTTTAATTTATGTTAAACACGTGTTGAAATTTATTGCAGGACTGTGTTTTTTCTAAACTCTAAGCATTTTCTAAAGCTTTAGGGTATTTGCAAATTAGACAAACTCCTTCATATGAACACTGGAAATACTGTTTGAGAAATGAGGACATGGGCTAAAAACAAATATCACTTTAGCACAAATACAACCTACCAACAGATACTCAAATATGTACCGAGCTAAGATTTCAGATTATATGGACTCAAAAAACACATTAATTACATTTATCTAGCTATATTAAGGATTTTTTTCCCACCTGTAAAATGCTTTAGGCAGAACACAAATTTGCATTCTTACAATGAAGCTAAAATTATGAAACTTTTTTTTTTATTTCCTAAAATTCTCAGTAAAGAGCAAAGTAAAAATATTTTTACTCCTCCAGTCTTCATTGGACACTGATGATGAGACAAAAATAATTACAAAGTTGTAAATTGAATCACAATTTGAATTGAATGTCTTTATGATCATTGTCTGGTTGACATACAGTGAATTTGATTCTCCAAAGAAAAGGATTGTTGTCTTTCTCACTCTCACTTTAAGACACGCACACTTAAACAAAGGCGTAAAACTATTACTTAGGTATAGGAATAAATCAAGACTAAAGTGCAACTTTTACTGCGAGGAATCCACAATACCTGATGAATGGAGAGTCATTCCCATTGGATCTTATGTTGCTTTAAATGCCACTTAGGGAGGTTAGCATGTTGTGTTATCCAAATGAAAGCAGCAAGTGATCGTCATGCAGATCACTTGGAAGGATTAGTTTTAAGTTATTTGCACTGTTTACTTGAGAATCAGGTGGATAGTTTTAGTTTGGAGGCTGCAGAGGTCTACAAGGTTTCTTTTCAATATGAACTGAGACATAAAAAGGGGCAACAGTTCCTCAGGAATGAAACAATCTGCTAATGATGGCCATCATATCCTTCTGAATTTTAAGCACAGTGAATCAGCTCAAGATTCCCAGTCCTCCATTGTACACAAATATGGTTGAGGATGAAACATTGACAGTTAGCTGATTTGAAACTGAACAGCCCCGTGCTGCACATTAGAAAGTTGAACAAGGTACACTTCAACCTGATGTCATTTAACGATACTCTTTTTGGGGTCGGAGTGGAAAGCCAGTAAAAAATCCAAGGTGTATCTCCTTGACAAAGTTTGTAATATTTCATGTAGAAAGAGCCTCAGCCTTTGCTACAAATGCAATATTACACATGCAGATAAATGGTTCGGGTAGCAGACATGCCAACAGTGCTCAGGCTTACGTAGTGTAAAATCAGTAAATCTGCACTCCTTTGTAGCTCCTGTTTAAATGATTCAGGAAAAGATAAATAAACTGGTTCTGAATAAGGCACTTGATTTGATTTTCTAGTGATTTTCTTCATTTCTTCTCCAATGTTTCATTTGGGATGTTCCCTCTAAGTTTCCGTTTCGCTGTACAACTCGTTTCTAGTAATAGGACTCAGCGGGTATCTTAATAATTATTTGTGAATGGGACATGTCTCCCTCACAATTGAAAATGATTTGTTTGCACTTTCACGATATTTTCAATAAAATATTGCTTCCTTATTATGAACACTGGGAATGAGGAAAATGGGCTCTTGATAGAATCCTTACATTTGTAAAATTCTTCTCTTGGTTCTCCTAGTTACCAACAACTCCTCACTGCACAGGATGCCATTAATGATAAATACATGATATATTGACATATTCCTCTTACAGGTGAATACAGTTGTGTTGTGTGCTAACTTATCATTCCCATGATAACTTAATCAGAAGCGTTAAAGGTCGGAAGGGAGATAAAGTAATGCGCTAGTGGAGATTGTGTTCTCTATTTCTTACGTCAGAAAGGCCATAAATTACAAACAGAATTAAATTTGCTCAGAGAAATAATCAGTGGGCAGAGGACAGCAATATTTATATCTTCTGTTACATTCAGCTTCTGGTTAAAGATCAGAAATGTAAAACTAACCACAAAAAACTAACAAAGTCTGGGTTTGCGCTACAAGATCTATGTTTAAAATGCTCTCGTATTGTTG